TTTTTTTTTTTTGTGGAACCAGGGATTGAACTCAGGCCCTTGCGCTTGTCAGGGAAGTGCTTATTCCTCTGAGCGGTCTCCCCGGCCCTATATTTTTTTTTCCTTTTTGGCGGAACTGGGGATTGAACTCAGGCTGCTGAGCCATCTCCTGGGCTCCAAGTTGGAGATTTATATCAGTGTTTGTTCTTATAAACCGATGTAAACAATAAAATAAGCAAAGGGTATATCCTGTTCCAAATTTATTAGGTTGGTTTGGAGCTTTTGTATCAAATAAATACTACTTGAGCACTACTTCAGGGTAGGCATTGTACGAGATGCTGAAGAGAAAATAAAGGTAGGACCTTTATTTTGCTGTAAAGAAGCATATATTCTGGTGGAGGGGGCAGATAGTTAAACACATCATTATAACACTGTGGGATATGTATCACTACAGAAGCACAGGACACTAGGAGGACACCTAGGAGGAGCACGTAGCACTGGCCAGAGAAGCCAGGGAAGTTGTGCAGGTTAAGAGCTCCAAGAAGGGGCCGGGGAGATGGCTCAGTAGAATAAGTGCTTGCCTGGCAAGCGCAAGGGCCTGAGTTCAATCCCCAGTCCCCCCCCCCAAAAAAAGAAACCCAGTTTAGTGTCTCTCTTCCACAGCCAAGTGGGATTGTAACGGGCATTGAAGAGCACAACCCATTGTGAATTATTTTAGGGCCGGGGAGATGGTTCAGCAGAATAAGTGCTTGCCTGGCAAGCACAGGGGCCTGAGTTCAATCCCCGGCTCTGCCAAAAAAAAAAAGAGCTCCAAGAGCTGGAATGGGGGGATGGTGGGAATTGTTCAAATGAATGTGCATGGATATGTGCAAGGGGCAGGGGATGGGAGCAGTAAGTCACGCAGAAGGAACCTGGAGCATATCAAGGCAGCAATGTGTTGTGGGTGGTTTTGTATGCTGGCCCAAACCCTAGGAAAAAAATGTCTCCCTGAGATCTGAAACTTTCGGACTCATGGAGTTAAAGAGAAGAGGCCATGTAAATTGAGTAAGACCATGGAGCAGTTTGCACAGACTAACAAACTAAAACAGAGCCAAAACCCAAAGGACAAAAATTTTTAAATG